AATAAATAGAATATGTAATGAAAAAAGAATATTCAACAGACCATATGTGTCTTCTAGTGTTATTAAAATGATAAACTACAAAATTTATAATGTGACAAAAAATTGTCACCTGAAATAATATGAGAAAGTGCGAGGGAAAAATTTTCTTAAATTGATTAAACTTCTAGAATCATATTCATATTATTTGATGAGAACTTTGCAGATGGCACTGAATTTTAAGCGGTACTCCAGGAGAACGGAGTTATCCTCAAATGTAGAAAGCTTAAACATAAGGAAACAAAGGTCAATTTTATAAAGAAGATTAAACTTAGAAACATTATTTCCTTAGAGTGATCTTAATAAAAATGTACAGGAGAGATAACTTTAAAAGATTTTAACTTTAGACACATGATCCAATTTTAATTGCAGTAATGCAATACCAACAGGTTTTGATGTGTTAACACTAATTTCTCAATAGTCCTTTTGAAAGTCAACAATGAAACATGAATAAAACTATTAAATTTGTGGTTTGGCTGTGAAATACATTAATTAACACATATATATTCAAAGCAATGTAGTGAAATCTTCCAGACACATGACCAAGTGGAATGCATGTGTACCTATCATATATACACATCTGTATATATATACTAGGAAGTAATGTATCCATAGATGAACATACACACATATAATTGTATGTGTGAAATATATAAAAAGAGACACAGAGGGATAGGTGAGACAGATCAATGACCTATTGATCTCCATCTGAGGACACAGACTATAGGGTGTACACTGTTTTACTACTTTTGTTGTGTCAATGATGACAGTGATTTCCCCATGAGACATCAGGCCTTGATTCCCTTTGGACTGTGTTGTTGTGAGGGCCCAGGGACCAGATTCTCCATCTATAGCTCTTGGGATTCTTGATTGTGACCCCCTGAGGAAGTCAGATGAGCCAGGGGTTTTACTGGAGACAGTGTCTTGCTTGGCGTATTTATCATCCACAAATAATCTGCTATTAATATACCTCAGCAGGATCATCATCAGGCCAGTTCAGTAGCCTGCAATTTATGAAGGTTATGGGAAACAGTGTGAAGGGTGAAACGCTTTATTAAGAGTGGCTTCCCTTTCTGACCCAGCCCTGCATTCTACTTGAATATAAATGATCCTAGGAATGAGTGCTCCTTTCCATTTAGTATTAAGCTTTTTTAAATTGTCCCCTTAGGCTGTTATTCTTACTCCACTCTGCCACGACATTAGGAATTTCTAGGAAACATCAAAAATCACAATGCTATATGGTAATGTAAGAATACACTGTGTGAGAATTAGAAGCATATCCAACCCACACATGATGCACATATTTTATTTTTTCATGTACAAACCATGCAGAGCTTTTTTATCATTTTCTCTATTTTTATTGCTCATTTATGATAAATCTCCTTTTTTATTCTGGGTAAAAATAACAGAACTGATCAAAATGTCTTGCAAAAATCATGACTTTAATCTCTGGAAGTCTAAATAAATGAAATGTGCTCCTCTTTTGTCTTGCAGAATAGTCTCTGTTTTTAAAAGAAAATGTGTTCAGTATATGCATTGTTTTTTGGATTTTGCCTTTGACATAACAGCCTTATTTTCCTTTCACATTGCTTTAAATTAAGAAAAAATTGTAAGGAACGAAAAATGACACAAAACTAAAATGCCACCCAGGCTGCTTTCCTTGACAATTTGTTCCTGGGAACATAGTTGAAGCCTGCTGGGGAGTGATTAACTGTTTCCCTTACAGAGTGTTACTCTCAATACTTGTCCTAGAAGAGAAGGCCTTGAGAGGGTCATTCTATTAATATGTATTAAGATATAAAGAGCCAATGGGCCAATTTTAATATTTCAAATAATTCTGGTGAATAAGACCATTAGCACCTTCCTGTTTCCATGATAACCCTCTTTTAAAACGAGTTCTTGGTTATACACTTGCCCCAGGAGAGAGGAAAACGAAGAGGAATAAAAAATAAAGACAGAGTAGAGAAAATGATGGAAAATTGTTTCATTCAACTTCACCTGCTGCTCCTGCAACTCATCCTTAGGAAGGCTCCACACTTAAATGAATTATCCATTAAGTCTCCTCCCACCAGATCGCCGCAATTCTAGCACTTGTTTTGCAAACCACAAACCACATCTACATGTAGAGACATAACCAGAAGGTAAATGACCTTTTGTAGCATGTATCTGAATCCTATCAAATACTTCATCAGGTGACTATACAGGAGGCAAAATAAACAAACAATAAATAAGTAAATTAAAAGGCGGAGGCTTGTGGAAATTTATTCCCCTTTTCCCTTTTCTATGAACAGCCGGTAGCTTCTTCTCATTTCTTCTCATCAATTCTCCAAACTTTCCAGAAGGGGAAACTTGAAAAGGAATCAGATGCATTTAAGAAAAACAGAACTAGACAAAAGTTTAGACCCCTCAGCCATTATCCCACTGCCCTTCGGAAAGTAATGCAGGATGCCCAACCTTGGTCGCCACACCATGGTTGTGACAAAGCCTGTTGGAGCCAGAGCAAATAATATGTTAATTGCAGCCTGGCACAGAAAAAAAAAAAAATGGAAAGAAAGAAAGAAAGAAAAACTATTATTGTTCCAGTCAGAGGCAGTGGGAGGTGAGCAGCAGAGGCCCCCTCCACTTTGGACTGGATCACTGCTAAATCCCGGTGCTGAAATGACAGCTCACCCGCTGAGACAGGTCAGTGCTGAAAGACAGAAAGAGAAAGATGATCAAGTCTACCATTCACTTCTACCCCTTGGAATCGCCTTCCCGTCCTCCGCGCCCCCCTGCCTCGCCTCCTGGGGACTTTCTCTTACAGTTGGTGGCCGCCAGCCCCAGCGGTGGGAACTGAGGATGCGAAAACCTCCCAGACGCAGAAAAGACTGTTTTCGGGACGTGCTCAGGTTTGAGTAGCCGCGGCGCTGGCTCACAGCGGGCCTGGCTGGAGCTCCACGGAGCCCACTCCCGCCCGCCCGGCTCCCGAGCCCGGCCCCGCAGCATCTCCCGCGCCCTCCTGCACCCGGCCCGCAGCATCTCCCTCGCGCGCGCCAGGGGAGGCAGGACTCCAGCCCCGCAGCCCCGCAGCCCAGCGCAGAGCACCGGGGTGGGCGCGCAGGGCCGCGTGGAAGCCTGCCGGGGACGCGCGCGACCACGAGCACGCGCGGGGTGTCCGGGCCCCGAGAGCGCGCCGAGGAGCGCGCAGTCCCCTTCGCGCGCGGTCCCGGGGAGAGCGAGCGCTGCGCGCCGCCGTGCACGCCCGACCCAGAGCTGTACTATCTCGCGCCCTCGCGCGCCTACCTCCTCGCCGGGCATTCAAACAGCTTTCCGACATCGCCAGCCAAGGATGTTTCCCCCGCTCGGCAGCCGCCGTCCGTCCATCAGTACCTGAGGGGGAGGAGGACCAGGAGGAGGACGCGCACAGCATCCTTCCTGCTCCAGCCCCAGCCTCTCCACCGGCCCGGAGCACTCCTGTCACAGACCCGTCGCCCAGCCAGCAGCCTCAGCAGCCGGCCACTTCTCAGCGCTTTCTTCGCTTCTTGGCTCTTGCGTTTGTTCCGGGGGGTGGGTTGGGGAAATCACATCTGCGCTCTTAATCCACTTCCATTTTTCTGTTTGTTTGTTTCTGTCGAGTCTCCCTTCGGGGGGCCCTCCCTGCCTCTGGCTTCAGAGGTTCCATTCACTTGGATTAGGCTCAGAGCTCTGGCCACTGGGGGCTTTTTTTTTTTCTTTTCCTTTTTTTTTTCTTTCCTTTTTTTTTCCTTCCCACCTTATTCCCCTCTTTATTATTTTTTCCCTTCCATTTTTCTTTTATCTTTTTCTATTTTCTTTCTTCTCGTACGCATGCATTTTTTTTTTTTTTTTTCCTAATAAGGAATCCTAATTTTTGAAGCTGAGCCGGGGAAAAAATGGGCAATGGTGATTGGGACCGAAGAGGAGTCTCTCTGTCACTGTTGCTGGGACGCGTGCCTGTGCTGGTGTCTTAGAGCAAGAGCCTCCCGGAGCTTTCGGAGTGGAAGGTAAGGAACAGGGCCTGGGTCATCTCTGTCTTCTGGGGTCGTCTCCAAGAGGCTTGGACTTGGTTTGGGGGTAGGGAAGGCAAGGCTGTTGCTGGCGGATGGCAAGGCTCAGAGGAAATCCAACTGTCTGCATTTACTTAAACGCCGCAGTTGAAAAGTTAGAGAAGTGTGGTTTTGAAGAGATGTACTGGATGGGAAAGAATAGACAGAGAAAACCAGAAAACCTGGCAGTTGTGAATGATTAGGGTAATTTTATGCGGGGGGGGCGAATTAGGTTAAAAAGGAAGTTAAGATAGAGTGGGATTGGGGGAAAAATCAGTGGAGTGATGGCGCCGTCTATGTTTGACTAAACTAAAGTGTCACCCAGAAGATCAGTTTTGAGAATAGCTAAACTCAAAGCTGGTTTGCCTCTCAGCAAGAGAAAAATAATAAATAAATAAATAAATAAATAAATAAATAAATAAATAAATAATACAACATCCCTGAGACATCAGTGACTAGCCCTTAGCCAACCCCATTATTCCCCTTATACAGAAATACAGTTGTTTGAACAGGCCCTGCAGTTGGGGGGGGCAGTTCAATGATTCATATTTTTTAGTATTATTCAGAAAAATCAAAATTCTGTGCACCAAGGCGGATTAAAAATAAAGAGCATTATGTGAAGGGTGCCTGCTCTTTTGAGCAGGCATGAAAATGAAATCAGAGCTATTTCCCCACTCTTTCTAATCCTTGGTAAGCACAGCACTGCAGACATACACTGCCAAATAAATGGAAGCAAAAGTATCGCTTTCATATGGAAAAGAAATACGACCTCTTTTTGAGTTCCTAATTATAAAATGAAGCCCCCTTTCATGGATGGAATTCCTAATTTAGACACTTATTGTCACATTGGCTCTCAACGCCTACACTCTATCCTGAAGAACACTGCGCAGACCTGCATTGCCTACAAAGTGCTACAGCGCGCGCGCGCGCACACACACACACACACACACACACACACACACACACACACACACACACACACACACACACACACACACACACACACACACACACACACACACACACACACACACACAGATCATGTTCTTTCTGGATATATTTTTTATAACTTTTCACCTTTTAAAATGCTACTGGCTTTATTTTCTCAACCAGAAAAGGCATTACTCATTAAGCTTTATGTTTGAAACGGAGAACACTGTTTTGATAGATCCAGCAGTTCTGGTGTCATTTCAAACTGCTGCTATGTAGAAATTTAGAGTTGGGGCTGTTTTTGCCTCTGTCAAGACATATAGTGTGAATTATAATCTGTAAAATGCAGATCTGTCATCAGGGACTTTGGTTGCTGAACTGGGAATGCATGCATTGGTGTGTTATGCAATGGCAAAGAAAGCTTTATCCTTTAGTTCAAAGAGGACCAGGCAGAGAAGGCAGGAAAACTCTTAACTACCTATATATCTGTCCGTCTTTCTCTGTTTACAGAACAGTTGAAGTGACTGCAACCAAAAGACTTTTAAAATTAACTTGACGTCACTTTTCTCAGCTGAAAGGCTCAGCAGAAAGCACTATCATTTATTCTAAGAAGTAACTTCATAAAGGTTAAAGCTGAAAAATATTCAAGTTATTTTGGGATCACAACTTATTAGGGTATATGTAATCAAGGACTCCATTGTTGGACAAGGCCAGGGTAAAATTAATTAAAAAGAAAAGGAGAGCTTTGGAGCTCTTGTTGCTTGAGAGGGAGCAATTTAATCATTAAAAATAACTAGGAGAAAGGAGATGGCAATATTTTTCATATACCATGTGAAAATCCTAATTTATAGTAGGCAACACTGGGTAAAACATCCCTAATTAAAAAAAATTAAAGACTACAGCAAGCTCAGTTACTGCAGTTGTGGGATTTTTCACTGACATCGCCTTTGGATACAGATACTAATACAGTGATCCACTTTATGTATCCCAGGAGGGCATGTCACATTGAAATGACTGCCTCAAATCCTGTACTCAGTGCTGATGGAACAACAAGTCTTCCCTGTGAATCTACCCATCTATGCGCTTTCCGAGATGATGGTTTTAAAATTCCATGAAGCCACATGAATGCCCCCCCCCCTTTTTTTTTTGCACAGGAATTTCTCATCAGTTCACATGGTGGCCCTTGCAAAGGCAAGTTGGGGCATTTGGAAGACATTGTTCCATCTGGAACAAATGATCATTTGTGCTTTTAAAACTGTGGCTATAATTTGTCCTTATTACTTTCACATTTAAGAGAAAAGAAATGATGTGATGACAGCTGCTTCCAGATTATCAGATTAGGTTTTGTGTGATGGTGTTTACTGCAGGCAGAAAACTGGGGGAGAGGAAGGTTGGACAGCTTGGTTCCTTATTTCAGCAATTAACGTGTGGGTTATGACAGTAAAGAAACACCCTGTTTTCCCTCTCCATTTGATAGGATGATAATAGATGGGGAGGAAATCCTCGTGGACGAGTTAGGACATTCCTATTAATAATCTACTAAATGTTATTTTTAAATTGAACGTTGAGAATTTGTCCATGATCAGTAACCACGTGAGGGCGCTCTTCACACAGCAACGGATAAATTTCTGGCATTACAAAATAAAAATTACCTGCCCTTCTTTTAAAAAGGGCTTTTTACTGAAATCTTGAAAACAGCTGGCTGTAATATTGGAAGGGTTTTGTGTTTTTTTTTTCAATGCCTGTGGTCTCCTATTTGTATTTTACTTCCATTGCCATTTTTACAGGCCAAATGACATAGGATGAAGGCTGTTCGTAACCTGCTGATTTATATATTTTCCACCTATCTCCTGGTTATGTTTGGATTTAATGCTGCCCAAGACTTCTGGTGTTCAACTTTGGTGAAGGGAGTCATTTATGGATCCTATTCTGTAAGTGAAATGTTTCCCAAAAACTTTACAAACTGCACTTGGACGCTGGAAAATCCAGATCCAACCAAATATAGCATTTATCTGAAATTTTCCAAAAAGGACCTTAGCTGCTCTAACTTTTCCCTCCTGGCTTATCAGTTTGATCATTTTTCCCATGAAAAAATAAAGGATCTTTTAAGAAAGAATCAATCTATAATGCAACTCTGCAATTCCAAGAACGCTTTTGTTTTTCTACAGTATGATAAAAATTTTATTCAAATACGTCGGGTATTTCCAACTGATTTTCCAGGATTACAGAAAAAAGGGGAAGAAGATCAGAAATCTTTTTTTGAGTTTTTGGTATTGAACAAGGTGAGCCCAAGCCAGTTTGGTTGCCATGTATTATGCACTTGGTTGGAAAGCTGCTTAAAATCAGAAAATGGGAGAACAGAGTCATGTGGGATCATGTATACAAAGTGCACCTGCCCTCAGCATTTGGGAGAGTGGGGGATTGACGACCAGTCACTGGTTTTGTTGAATAACGTCGTGTTACCCCTGAATGAGCAGACTGAGGGCTGCCTGACCCAGGAACTGCAAACCACTCAAGTCTGCAATCTAACCAGAGAGGCCAAACGACCACCCAAAGAAGGTAAGTGCCTAAAGAAGAGGGGAAAGCGGGTATGGGGAGAGGAGGGGCAAGGGAGGCTTGGGATGGAGGTACCCCTTGCTGTTACACTACTCAAGCCTAATCTATTCATGGCTCCTTCACGCTGTCAACTTTGCAGTGTTTTGATTTGTGATCTTTACTGATGAAGGTCTCATAAGCTACTCTTAGCTTTCAGAACTTTAGAGATGAACAGAGAAGGTGGGGAGCACAGCCACATGCCACAGACTTGCAGGTGGAATATTTAGGAAAAGAGATACAGAAATATGAAGCCAGGTTGTGTTAGGGGGTTGGTAAGGAAGAAAAATGTGTGTTTTTGTACAGGCTGCAGTCCAGGATACTTACGCACCTCCCAAATATGGACTGGATATGCAGAATTCTTTGTGATCCATTCCAGCAAATGACCCCCTTTGCTTCCTTTTCCTCTGTGTCCTGTCCTCCCACTTATCCCTGTGACATTCAATAGAAGTCCTATGTGGATCCAGAGACTGCTTGCCACTGGAGTCAGGAGAGACCACATTTTGGATGCACTCTCTTGGATCAGTCAAGAGAAACATAGAGGAAGCCAGAGTTCCTAGTTCCTGGGGTTTCTGGCTGTGAACTCACCTGGGGGTGGGAGAGGGAGAGAATTAAAACATGTATAGATCCTATGAGAACTGAGTTGCCTCTTACAAGTATTTTCTTGCTACCTTCTTGGTCCTTTGTTGATCTTTGCAGACAGTGAGACTATCTCATATATGGTAAAGAAATGCAGAGCAACAGAAAAGCAGAGGAAATAACGTACCAGCGTGACTTGTAGCTTTCACCCATCCTCAGTGAGGGAGCTAGCAGAAGATAGAGATTGTGGATTATGGTTAATAATGCAAGAAAGCACAGCGTATTTTGAGAAAACTGCTTTCCTGCTTGGAAGGTTAATGGCTATGCTCCAGTCCTAAGAGGACAGAGCTGATGCATATTCTTTCTTGTGCCCCAACCCTGTAACCAGAGAGTGTGTTGATTTCTCATGCAGGAAATGTTTTCTGATCACCACAAAGATCCCAGTCTGTGGAAAGGGAGAGCCAAGCTCCAGGCCCACTTTCCTTTCCCTCCCCCAACAGAAGTTGTCTTTGTGACCAATATAAAATTGACACGTTGTTGGAGAATTTTCTTTAAGGGTAGCCAAGGCTTTGTAAGAGAGGGGAGCCAGCAAGGGGAAAAGCCGGGGGGATGGGGGACCTCACTAGCTTAATGCTATTTCTTGATGGCTACAATTTGCGGGAGGGGATGGTAATTTTGGAAGAGCAATGGCACAAGGGAAAATAAAGGTAGTCTAATGGCAAGGAGAGAGGAGTGGCTTTACAGTGTTTACCTAACAGCTGTGACTGAGGAAAACAAAGTAGTTTTAAATTGCGGGAGTTCTTTTCTCTAGTAAAAATCCCAGAGAAACACTTGCAACTGCAGGGATGGTATTTAACACCATTTAAAACTAATTAGTGTCCCCTAGAATAAGAAACTACAGTACACACAGAAAATGTGATGCCATGCTCTGGCTATTAAAAGAGTTAACATCAGAAACTAAGCTTTGTTCTGTTTTAATGAACATTGGAAACGTGTCTCATGAGTGGTTCACATTCTCTCATCAAATTGACCATTGATTAAATTGATAGTGGAGAGTTAAACTGGTTTCATAACCTTTTTCAAATGAAAGTGTTAGAGAAGCAAAGTTGTGAGTTCATTATGCATGAGTTTCAAAGATTTTGCTGGTCACAAGCAGGAGGTGTGGGTTAAGGGAGAGCTGGGATGTATGGAAGCATTACTGGACACATTTGACTTGTAAATGAATGCAATTTAGACATTAGACTTATAAAGCATGTGGCAGACTGTATATTTCATGATGCTAATCAGCTGTGAAAGTGAGAAGGGAATACTTGTGTAAGAAAATACATGCTTATGCTAAAAGTGTTACAATGTTAATAGAGCTGAACGAGCAAGTTTATATAATAGGGAAAATTTTTATGCTGTATCAGAAAAGTTGCACAGCCTGTGTTCTGTCTAGTCTGAATATTGTGCTTTTAATGGTTTAGGTGCTATGAGTTAGAACGATAAAGATAAGTAGAGACTGGCGACACGTTTCAGTTGATGCATTTGTAAGCAAATCTTATAAAATATGAACAACAGCCTTCCTTGGCTCATTCAAAGAATTTTTGTTTATGATGCACTTTAAAAAAAAGGAATGTGAAATTTTGATGCTGTAGTTTAATTTATGCAAGAGATATTAAATCTTAAATATTTGATATAAATGACACATAAAATATTGTATTAAGAATCATTAATTTCATTTCAAGCAAACCACATAATGACATCAGAGATTGAGCTTAATAATTATATGTTTTAGTGCTGCTCATATATAATTCGTTTCTTCATTTTATGATTTAATTTGTAATTCTAGCTTCTAAAATGAACTATGAAATATTTCACCCACATTTTTACATTATTTGATGATTCTTATTTTCTATGGGAAAATATTCAACTCTGTTGAAGTCATTACGTGAGTAAATACAAGATCATCCTCCTCGGTATTGGCTACCATTTCATTCACTGTGTACGTTGTAACCAAGAAAGTCTGTCTCAGGCAGCTCCACCTGCACTACATCATTAAAATGGCACAGATTTGGCAGTGGAGTCTTCATACTTAGTAAATACTACTCCAGATTATTTTGTGTGATACTGATAGTGATGACAAAAGTATGCCAGTGGTTCATAATTGTAAATGCCTCCACTGAGACTACATAATCAGAGTTAGTTTGTATTGAGGAAACAATGAGCCCTCTACAATGCAATATCTACTTTTAGACGAAGTTCTACATCAATGTCCAGAAGAATTTCGTATGCTCAAGACAATAGGAGGAAAACTATTATTCTTTCTTATAACCAATGATTACAAAATATAACACCTAGCAAATTGTTGCAGAGATGCGTCATTAAGTATTTCACTTGAATACATTTAAGAATCTCTTTAAAAATCATATTTGACATACTTGGGGTGACGTGTACTTATAGAAACTTAGTTATCTTTCTCCCACTTCTGTGAAATCGTGAAAACTAATTTCAAAAGAATGGACTCGGCTTGGAGAGATGGCTCAGTGGTTGAGAGGCACTGACTGTTCTTGCAGAGTACCCGGGTTCAATTCCCAGCACCCACATGGTGGCTAACAACTGCCCATAACTCTGGTTCCAGGTGGTCTGATGCCTTCTTTCCACCGCTAGTGTTGCACTACACGTTTGCAGTTACACACATGCAGGTAATACACACATACACATAAAATAAAATAAAGTGTAAAAAATAAAAAGTGAGCTCTTTTTTAAAACAGTGATTTCACAGATCAGACAGTTTTTGTTTTTTAAAACTGTCTACATATAATGGGCATAATCTATTTTTTAAAAGGAAACTCAACATTGGTATTTACTTGGTTTTCAAATGCAACTCTGAAAACATAGTTATTCATAAAATCATCTTAGGTTTTCTAAAGGCTTTAATATGCTTTATTATGGAAGATGACTATTGCTGAAAATGACTCTGGACTACATAGTAAGTATATAAATATAAACTGGGATCACTTCTTACCCCTTTGTTTACAATAAAAACATTGAATGAAAAACTTTGGGCAGAATAATTCCACACCAGAATGTCTAAGTCATACAATAAGTCTTAAAGGAATCTTTGTTTGCTGCTAACATCAATGGCTTTACTTATGTGAAGGGCAATTGGGATCCCTGTATAGATTCCAGGAAATCTGAGCACACACACTCATTTGTCTTTGCACTGTGCCTATGCTAATCCTGGATATTCCACTTCCCAAGGGAAGTCTCACTGTGGGACTGGGTAAACTCCGGCTCATATCTGTGTGTGTGTTTGTGTGTGTGTGTGTGTGTGTGTGTGTGTGTGTGTGTGTGTGTTTGCATTTTTAGGCACACATTTGCAACCTTGAAGGATTTTCATTCCTAGCATTTTAATTCTCATTTTTTGTCTTCTCTTGCCCTATATGTCCTAACATTGCTTTTTGAGACAGCTCATTCCATTCTTTATATGCTTTGGATCATGATTCCTTTGCAAGTTATTGTTATTATTGTACATCTTTTATTAGAAGATTAAAGCAAATAGTGGGTCCAAAATGCTCCCATCATGGCACATTCTTTATCAGAAGATAGAAAAATGACCAAAATTCCTATTTCCTTCAAGAAACAGGCCTTGACAATTTGCCCTATGTTTTTGCTGGCTCCCTTAGAATTTTCCAAGTACTGTAGTTTTGCTCTGGCCTGGTCTCACATTGCAGAGGGACTTTTCTATTTATATTTCCATCTCCCTTCACCAGATTTTGAGTTATTTAAGAGAATGGGATTTTGAAAGCCTTGCATAATCTTAACAGTTTCAGGGAACCCAGGTTGTAATGAATGTTAAGCAAACAAAGAAAGAAAATTCTGAAAAGGAAAGCTAGTAATATATTGATTACCATCAAAAGAATAAAGATGAATCACTTTGGGAAAGATGAATGCCATTCATAATATTTCCAATTCCATTAATGTATTATTTATTCCAGGGACTGATCTTCAAAATTTGTTTTAATGCTTTAAAAATAACTACAAGAAGAACACAGGCAATTAGCAATATTGTTACATATATTGGTTTTAAAATATTAATGGTAGTTACAGCTTCTTAAATATGGTCACCTAGAATAATAGTGATAAGAAAATTGGCCTATCCTTCTCTGTTCCGTTCTGTTTCTCTTCCACACTTGTGCAGTGATAACATTTCTCAAATCCTCCCTTGTGTAATCTGAAGATAAGCCCATGCATTCCTTTTCTATGAGAGCAGAAAAGAGTATTGGCTTATGTTATTAACTCTTGATTAAGAACATGATATGCATAGTTTATGATAGAATATAATGACAGAATATTATGAAAATTGATGCCAGGCATGGTGGTGAGTGCCATTAATCTCAGCCTTC